AGATTCGAGATTTTCTTTGACCATCAGTTGCAAGACAATGGTGAAGAAAGGGATGAGCTGAGCATCAACGCTAACTAGAGTAAAGAAGATGACTTAGACAATAATGAGGTTGACATAGGGGCAAAACTGGCTGATCTCTTGACAGATTCTGGGACCGACCCGGAGAACTTAGGGGATAACTTTACTGTCTCTATGATCGGGGAGGAACTGGGTGTGGACCTAACCAGTGGTATTTTGGATGCATCGAAGGCACCATTTCTTACTTGGTAGCTGGAAAAGGGCTTTTTTTCCAGCTCGAAATCGAATGATGATGAGCCAGGATCTGATTCCACTGAGTCTATGGAGTCGAGATCAGATTCGAGTCAGTCCAGTGAGTTTGAGTCTGGCATTCCCGGGGGTGGTAACCGGGATGCCAAGGTCCTGTCGAGGTTTTCTTTTTCTTTTGCTTTTGAGTCTGTTGTAATTGAAGGGCCAAAACTTGTGAATGAGAACATTGCAGATTCTATGTACTACTCTGTGCTGTTGATTTATTATATTGACCAAGATTTTCAAAATTTTAACAAAAACGAAGAGGAAAAAATTCCTCTGGCTTTGAAAAACTTGATTAATCAAGAAGAGGAGAGGCGTGCTAAGCCCTATATTGATGAAATCATTGCCATTAATGTGGATACTGAGAAGGATCCACACTTGGTCCAGATCGAGGTCCACGTTGTCTTCAGAGGAACGCGAGTGTTTAATTGCTTTATTAAAAGATTTTAGAGATATTTTAGTGTGGTCCTACGACGACATGCCTGGAATCGACCCTGAGATTGTACACCACCGGATCCCTTTTGACCTTGAGGCCCGACCAGTCAAGTAGAAATTGTGCAGAATTCATCCGGATTGGGCATTAAAAATCGAGGAAGAGGTCACCAAACAGATTGATGCAGGATTCTTGTTAGTGTCCGAGTATCCGACCTGGTTGGCCAATATCGTCCTAGTTTCGAAGAAGGATGGCAGAATTAGGATTTGTGTCGACTTTTGGGACTTGAACAAAGCAAGTCCGAAAGACGATTTTCCACTGCTGTATATTGATGAGTTGGTATACTTTATTGCTGGCCATGCCTTGCTTTCCTTTATGGATGGATTTTCTGTGTACAATTAGATTCTGATGGCATCGGAAGATAGAGAAAAGACTATTTTCACCGCACCATAGGGTACGTACTGTAACCGAGTCTTGCCTTTTGGGTTGAAGAATGCTGGGGCTACCTATCAGAGGGATGTGATCACCATTTTGAATGACATGATCCACAGAGAGGTTGAGATGTATATGGACGACATGATTGTCAAGTCCAAAGAATGAGAAGGCCACTACACCGGACTGGAAAAGTTCTTTCAATGGATCAGGGAGTACAGATTGAGGTTAAACCCACAGAAATGCACCTTCGGCGTAACGGTAGGGAAAATGCTGGGATTTCTGATCAGGCAAAGGGGAATTGAAGTAAATCCTTCCAAAATCAAGACTATCTTAGGAATGCCACCACCAAGAACTGAAAAGAAGGGACGCGACTTTCTAGGTAAGGTGCAATTCATAAGACGGTTTATTTCAAAATTGAAATTGACTTGTGAACCACTATTTAGTCTCTTGAAGAAAGGAAAGAAGTTCCGATAGGACGATCGATGCCAATTTGCCTTTGAATAGGTCAAGCAATACCTTCAGAATCCGCATGTGTTGTCGCCACCAGAGCTGGGAAAGCCTCTGATTCTGTATTTGTCAGTGACAGACTCAACCATGGGGTGCATGGAGGTATAGCTATTTGACCACATCATAGCTGCAGTGTGAATTTGTCAAGACAGTATAGGAACTCAAAACATGTGAATTTGGATACTATTTTATCACCATCAGTTCTTACTGAGTCACGGGATTTTTTGTCAACAGGAAAAGAAGTTGGAAGAAGAGGATGAAGCACTCATAAAATCATTATTTGGAGTGAGTATATCATTGTCAAACGACTGCTACTTTGTTATATTGTTGCCTCTGTTTTCTGGTAGTTTGTACTCGGTGAGATTTACTTGGTGTCAAAATTCTTTCTCAGGCACCAAGAGAGGTCGTTCGCAGGATCGATGATGATATTCTTGATGATGATGAAGATTTATCTCAGATTTCAACTGACAATGCTGAAACATCAAAAAATAATTCAAAAGTATGATCCTTTACTAATAATTTGGTTGTATGATCTATATGTATCTAATTGTTTGAAAAATGACAAAAGGATAAAAAAGGATGAAGATTTTAAGTGGTATAAATTGGCGAATAAGGAGGTTAGAAGGATAATTAGGGATGCTAAGCTAAAAGCCTACACCAATCTTTATTCTAGATTAGATAGTAAAGATGGAGAAAATAATATTTATAAATTTCCTAAATTGAGAGAAATGAAATAAGACACTTAATCAGGTTAAGTATATAAAAGTGAGGATTTGAAGGTGTTAGTCAAGGATGAGGAGGTTAAGGAAAGGTGAAAAAAATATTTTTAGAAACTGTTAAATAAAAATCATTTAGAAAATCTAAGAGTAGAGGAATATGATAGCTTTGATGGGACTAGAGAATATAGGTTTTATTGTTGACTAAGAAAGTTTGAGTTGTAACTTGCACAAAAGAAGCTGAAAATACATGAGTGGAGAAAAATGAGATATCCAAAATTGCAACAATTATAAAGGCATTCGGTTCATGATTCAAACTAGTTCCTTAAGAAACTTGAATTCAAGGTGTTAACGTCCCAAAATCACCAAACGGGGTCAGATTAGCATGAAACTTGGCACACACGACCACCTAGACACGAGAGACTTGTAGGAGAAGACGGGACTCCAATCGGGTTCCCGGTTTGGGAGTTATAGCCGGATTTCACTATAGGCAAACTAGTTCCTTAAGAAACTTGAATTCGAGGTGTTGACGCCACAAAATCACCAAACGACGTTGGTTTAGCACGAAAGTTGGCACACACGACCGCCTAGGAACGAGAGACTTGTGGGAGAAGACGGGACTCTAATCAGGTTCCCGGTTTGGGAGTTAGAGCCGGATTTCACTATAGGCAAACTATTTCCTTAAGAAACTTGAATTGGAGGTGTTAACGCCCCAAAATCACCAAACGGCGTCGGTTTAGCACGAAACTTGGCACACATGACCTCCTAGACATGAGATACTTGTGGGAGAAGACGGGACTCCAATCAGGTTCCCAGTTTGGGAGCTAGAGCTGGATTTCACTCTAGGCAAACTAGTTTCTTAAGAAACTTGAATTCGAGGTGTTGATTCCCCAAAATCACCAAACGGTGTCGGTTTAGCACCAAACTTGGCACACACGACCATCTGGGCACGAGAAACTTGTGGGAGAAGACGGGACTGCAATCGAATTTTCATTTTGGGAGTTAAAGCCGGATTTCATTATAGGCAAACTAGTTCCTTAAGAAACTTAAATTGGAGGTGTTGACGCCCCAAAATCACCAAACGGCATCGGTTTAGCACGAAACTTGGCTAACACGACCGCCTAGGCATGAGAGACTTGTGGGAGAAGACGGGACTCCAATTGGGTTCCCGATTTGGGAGTTAGAGTCGGATATCACTCTAGGCAAACTAGTTCCTTAAGAAATTTGAATTGGAGGTGTTGATGCCCCCAAATTCACCAAGCAGTGTCAGTTTAGCACGAAACTTGGCACACACGGCCGTCTGGACACGAGAGACTTGTGAGAGAAGACGGGACTCCAATCGGGTTCCCGGTTTGGGAGTTAGAGCCAGATTTCACTCTAGGCAAACTAGTTCATTAAGAAATTTGAATTGGAGGTGTTGACACCCCAAAATCTCCAAACGGCGTCGGATTAGCACGAAACTTGGCACACACGATTGCCTAGGCACGAGAGACTTGTGGGAGAAGACGGGAATCCAATCGGGTTCCTGACTTGGGAGTTAGAGCCGGATTTCGGTCTAGGTAAACTAGTTTATTAAGAAATTTGAATTGGAGGTGTTGAATTCCCAAAATCTCCAAACAGTGTCGGTTTAGCACGAAACTTAGCAAACACGACCGCCTAGGCACGAGAGACTTGTGGGAGAAGACAGGACTCCAATCGGGTTCCCGGTTTGGGAGTTAGAGCCGGATTTCGGTCTAGGCAAACTAGTTTATTAAGAAATTTGAATTGGAGGTGTTGACGCCCCAAAATCACCAAACAACATCGGTTTAGCACGAAACTTGGCACACACGACCGCCTAGGCATGAGAGACTTGTGGGAGAAGATGGGACTTTTATCGGGTTCCCGATTTTGGAGTTATAGTTGGATTTCCGTCTAGCCAAAATTATTTACTTAATTATCTTTGTAATTATATAGTAGTTAATTTTTTATGTTTTTTTGTAATTAAAATATTAACACATAATTATATTGTCATTAATTATTTTTATTTTTTGTTTTCAGATATTTCCTGAGTAGCAGTTTGTTTCTTGTGGAATACAGGCATGTGAAGATTGCGATTTACGTTTGTTTTTGTTACCCACGGAAGAATCATGAGGGAAACTTTTGTTTTTGATTTACGTTATTTTGAATTGTGAACAACATTATGTATTTAAACATTGTATATGTATCATGCAATATTACGTAGTGGGATAATTTTGCTAATGTGTTGTAATGAATGAATGCAAGAATATTTTTATTATAGATGAATTGTTATTTTTATACTGGAATTTTTATATTATTATGTAATTATTGGTTTGTTTTTCAATTATTTTTCATTTAATACAGGTAATTTTCATATTTTTAATTCGTTTATTGCAGTTTTTTTTTTTTTTTTTTTTGAGACGGCACCACATTGCCTTCGCAAATGATATTGGCAGAGTTGAGACAAAAGCCTTTTGCGACGGTACTCTTTGCCGTCGCAAATAATCTTTTAGCAACAGCAGATATCCCGTCACAATAAAAATTCTTTAGCGATGGCATTTTTGCCGTCGCAAATAACACCTTTAGCGACGGCAACATAGTGTCGTCTCAAAAAATCTCAGATTTTTTCATATTAATGGCAATGGCAAAATTCCGTCACAAAAAGGCATCTTTGCTGTCGCAAAAAAATGGCGACGGCAACGTGCTGTCGCTAAAACCTTTTTGTAACCCCCTTTGTTGCAACCCCTCACTTACCGTCGCTAAAAGTCATCTGCTGTCGCAAAAAATCTTTTGAGACGGTGTTTCGAGTATTTGCGACAACATTTTACCATTGCAAAAAGTCAAATTTTTTGTAGTGCATTCCAACCTCAAATTTTAAATAGTTACTATACGGTAAAGCAGTTACATTTACTATAAGTTAAAAGTAGTTACACTTACACATCTTTTTTATACTTACTATACTATACCATACCTGACCCTTATGCTTTGTTTGTTTTCCTCATCATTCTTTCTTCTTCTTTTTCTTTTTTTTATTATTTATTTTTGTGGGTTTGGATCAGATTGGCAAGGAAACAGGGAGAGGATCGAACAAAATTTTATAACTTCTACTTTTGGCAATTTAAAATAAAATGAAGAATTACATAAAGTGAAAATATTTTATTTATTTATTTTCTTTTTATTTTTTATGGAGGTGTAAGGGTTACAATTCAGAGAGTTGTGCTCATATCACATCTTTGACTTGCACCATGTACAAATCTACTTGCATTTTCATAAAGAGTTTATTGGTAATAAGTCCATTTTTATGGAAGGATAAGGCATTGGGTTCAAAATTTGATCATTTATGTAAATAAAGACATGATTAATGAAAATGTTTGGTAAGAACAATATATTGTTTAATTTTTATTATTTTTTTCATTTTTAACCCATTACCACTAGATCACTATCGAACCACCGCCGGAGTCGGAAATTCGTTAGCAGTGGCCGATGACGATGACTGGTAATAGTGTTGATAAGGACATGTAGACAAACTGGATGGACAGATAGGAGATACGTGAACAAATATATGAATGACACGTGAACAAATAGGAGAATGACACATGGGCATATAGGTGGACAAAGTTGACATATAAGTGACGTGGATAAATAGACAATTAGATAAGAGTAATATAGGCTTTCAAATTGTTTTGTCCTTTTGGCTCCAAAAAAAAATAGACCATGTGGCTATTGCCCCAAACTTATGGCCTGAATGCCTTTTTATAAAAGTTATAATTAATTTAAGTTAATTTCACTAATTTGGAATTTCCTTAAATTTTATTACCACAATTTGTAAGTCCATACATTAAGTATTGCGGAAAAAAAAAAAAAAAAACTCTTAAGGTTTGAATGTTGTAACAAAATAAATTTTGAATTTTATCAATTTAAACCTTAACTTTAAAATTATTTTTAATCCAAACTATTTGTCTATTTTGTTAAGTAAAATCGAAGGAAAAATGAATATTTGAGTCATTAAATTTAATGAAAAGGGTATTTTAAACATTTTACGTATACATGCGTTGAGTTTAATGACTAAATATTTTTTTCTTTGATTTTACTTAACAAAAAAAGGTGAATGGTTTATATAGAAAACAAATCAAGATATTAAAGTTTAAATTGACAAAATTAAAATTTTATTTTTATTTTATTTCAAAACTAAAACTTTAGGTTTTTTTTTTATTTTTTTATATTTTTTATTTTTTGTAATTGTCCATTAAGTATTTTTCAGAATATTAAGCAAAGGCTTTTTACTTGGTGTGCCTAGGCTGAACATGTAAGCCCAGGCCCAATGGGCATGGCCTAGGCAGTTGGGCGGGTTAGGTAATGGGCCTTAATTTGAGCTTTTTCAAACCTTTTTTTTTTCTTTCCTTTTTTACCATTTTTTAATGTATGCAAAAGTTTATTATAAAACAAAATAACTTTATAAATTGGCACATAAATTTATTTAAAAATTTGCAAGTCACGTACTCATCTTTATTTAATTTACACATGCATACATCACATACCTGCTCCATATATTTTGCTTGCGTTGGTCATCTTTGTGTGCGTGTGTGTGTGGAGTGGTGGTGGTGGAATAGACTAGCAATGAGCATAGATATTTTGGTCGTGTTTGTTTGGCTGACTTATTGAGGGGATTGGATTGCTAGTGAGATCACCTCACTTTTGGCTTATTTGATAATCCTTACACTCTACAAGACTATTAGTCCAATGGGATTGTCAAATGATGTACAACAGTGGGCTTAG